TCAACAGCATATATAAAAATCAAACTGTTTATTTTCTGGTCTATTGCACTTATTTATCTTATAAACTTATTGATCCCAAAAGAATTTACAACATAAGTAAAACTATAAGTAAAACAATTGATGAAATAGTCATCATATATGTTTAAACAGAATAATGTTTTATTAAACATTTTGTTTCAAGTTTTTCCAGGATGTATCATTTATAATCAATGTACATCATGTGAAAAAATGAAAATAAATATAAAAGTTGAAATACAAAATAAGTTTTAAAACTGAAAATTCTTTAATTGTTTTGGAACTGTAATTGTTCATTTATATACTTTGATATTCATTTGGTTATTTTATTCAAAACAAAATGTCTTGAAAATGCTGTTTAAAAAAATATCTAATGTTTATTTTGCATACATTAGTTGATATTCTGCATTGTTCTTATAAAAATTATTTTTTTCATACTTGATATACAATGATAGCTTTTTTCATTTTTATTAGAAACAATATAAATTTTTATATTTTCATTTTGGTTTATCAGTTTTTTCCCCTCTCAGTTATGGATATCACAATAAGACACAAATTATCAATATAATCTTTCCAAAATATATTTTGAAATGTCTGTGATTTTGTGTGTTAATTCAGAAATAATTATAAGAATATAGGTAGGAAGTAATTTAGCTTTTTAATGATTATTGTATAATTATAAATGAATTTTCTAAAATTAAAAGATAGTTTTGGAAGGAAATGTAATATTTGGAAAGAAATTCAAGAATAGGAAATGTTTTTTACTTATATAAAGAATTATATTTTGGATTTCAAATTCGTAATTTCACAGTAACAAATATTTTTGAATATTCATCAAAAGAATGGAAGGCCTTATAGAAATAATTAATAAGGTTGGCATCTTTTTACATCATCTGATTCCGAGCTTAAAGTAAAGCAAAGAAAATAATAGTATTTAACTGCATAATTATTATTGCATGACCCAAAATGTATTGCAGTTAATACCATAAAATTAATTTTTATGACAGTATAATATATTGGATTGAGTCATAAACAAGTTCATGGATAGATGTAAATGACTGTCAAGTTCTTGCCAGATGATGTGTTCTTTCAACTAAGTTTTATTAGTGGATATTAGCAAATAGTTACTAAATGTAAATTTTAACACTAAAGTGTCAATAATGTAATAAAATATTGTTTTGAATTCATTTAAAATGAAATATTTGAAATTACACATATGCCATATTACTAGATTTAAACTCTCACATGATAATGTTACAGAAACAGCAAAAAAGATTTGTAATGCCTAAGGCAGTGGAGTAATTTCAGGCAGAGCAATTCAAAAGTGGTTTACAAAATTCTGTTCTGATGATTTGTCTTTAAAAGATAATGACCAGGATGATTCTCAGACTTTGATGATGACATTTTAAAGGTCCTGATTGAACAGATTCCATGACAAATAACAAGGGAGTTAGCAGAGAAGCTGCACATATTCCAGTCAACCATAAATTGCCACCTCCAAAAACTAGGGAAAGTGAGCAAGCTGGAAGTTTGGGTTCTGCATAACCTCAGTGAACAGAATAAGGCCAACAAAACGTCAATAGCTGCTACCTTCTTTTCTTGGCATAAAGGGGAATCTTTTTTGGCTAAAATTGTTACAGACAATGAAAAGTGAATCACACGTGAAAATATCATTGAAAACATTGCCGTAACTAGAGCAGTAACTAGACCCTGGGGGGCACAGAAATGACTTGGACCAAGTTTTGGGGTGTAATTACAGAAGCTCGCACCGGGCACATAAAAGGCTAGTTACAGTGCTGATTGAAAAAAGACAATGGGTTGACAAAGATAATTAGCCTCAACTGCACTCCAAACCCACTATGCATGGAAGAAAAATTTTGTTGTGTATGATGGAATTATCAAGGAATTATCCAGTTTGAGTTGTTGCCATGCAATGAAACTGTTACTATAAATGTATATGTTCAACAGTTAGAACAGCTTCAGCTAAAACTTCAAGAAAAGAGTCTTGCACTTGTTAACAGAAAAAAATCACCTTATTGCATGACAATGCAAGGTTGCACACAGCAAAGATTATAAAAGAAAAAATTTTGGAATGTGGCTGGTCTGTTTTGCCTCATCCACAATATCACTGGACTTGGCACCAACAGATTTTCATCTTTTCCAGGCAATGCAGAATGCTTTACAAGGCAACACTTCTAAAATGATGACCAGGTTCAGGAGTTTTGATTCAAAACTACCAGAATTTTATGCAAGGGGAATTGGCAGGTTGCCCAAAAAGATGGCAAGAAGTCATCAATACTGACTGTGAATATGTATTAGATTAAAGTCTATTGTTGTACATTTTATTGTCAAATAAATTTCAGTTTAGAAAACCAAACTTATTTATGACTCAACCCAATACATAACATAAATACCATATTTGCATGCATTTAAGCCTCAATGGCATATTTATATACCCTGCAGAAAATTTCTAGAACAAAAATTAAACTCATAACACACCCATTTTATATCTCTGAATTTTTGGGAATAGCCATTGCTCCAAAAGATTAAGTTTATGATTGCAATTTAAAATTAGTGTATAAACAGCTCCAGTGCATAACCTGCACCTCCTTTAAAATTGCCTTTTAAATAAAATATATGCATGAAAATATGTTAATTGTATACTTTTCATCAGATTAAACCTAAATATCAAATAAAATTAATTTAAAATTTAGATTTTGCTGTTTTATTTTATTTTTTGTAACACTTGTAATGTTAACAAAATAATTTGTTCATGCTGTTTATCTTTGCAAAAAAATATTTTAAAAATTTAAATTTTAAGTGAATAAAAAGTTGTTCATTTTACATAATTTTAGACATCCTGAACTAAAATATTGAGGGTACATGATTTTAGAATTTATTTTAGTAATCATGATAACAAGCAATAGCAATACTTAAACCTTTATTTAATCTAACCAAGTTAAAGAATGTTCATTGATAATTTACAATAATAATACAATTTTTATAGTACTCAATGATTCTTCTTCATTTTATTTTATTTTTCTACTAGCTGCCACTCACTAACATAAAAAACAATATGGGGTCATTCAAATATGACACTAATTTTAAGTCTTTTTGAATACCTACACCAGTGTTTCTCAATCTCTAACAAATCGTCACCCCCTTCAATAAAACCGTTACATAGTATCACCCCCTTCACTTCAAAATTCTGATGCCATGGGCCAAACTAACACCAAATTCATACTGCGTTGAATAGACTAGTGACTAGTATAATGTTATTTGTTTAATTATTGTATGATATAATGAGTAAAATATCTAATTATTCTTAATATAATGTTTTACTATATCACCCAGAAAATTGTTTTTTGCCCCCCAAAATATAAATTGTTACTAATCGTCCCTCAACATGGAAAAACGCCCACATGGGGCGATATCGTCCCCGTTGAGAAACACTGATCTACACTGTCGTGCTTGTCAGGTGTTCGATGATTTATTATTTAAGGAGCTGAGTAAGATATTTGATTGTCATGTTTGTCACCAATTTTTAGACACTACCATACCGTTGTCACACTTGATATGCTACTTCTTGATATTACAATCAATCAATTTTGTAAAACAGATCTACAATACATTAATTTATTCATATTGCCTGCCAAAGCAAAGCTAATTTCCAAAATAGACCAATAAAAAAGATAAAATTTACTGATTTACCACTGAAGAGTTTGACAACATGCTAAGTAACTTCTAGACTAAAGTTAATATGTTATATCCACAATGAAAAGTTTCAATGCACCACCAAATGCAAAAGTAAAAGCTACAGTATCAGGGAAACAAAAGCACATGGTACCATATGTCATTGAAGTGTTTGTTTTCTTTAAGCTATATTTTTTAAGATTTTTCATACTAAATGATTCATGTGTATGAAATAATGAAAAATTTACAAACTGAGGTATTTTAGCAAGATATTGTTCAAAATGATATGATTTTAAGCAGTAGGTTTATTTGACAAATTTTTGGTATAAATGCAGAAATTTTTATGAAATATATTTGTACAAGAAATTGTAATCTATACTATTATGAAATATATAAAACTATTGAGAGAATTATGTCAATTGCAATAAATCTCTTAATAGTTTTATTTCCATTATTAAATATGTAGGATGTGGCAAAATAACTAATTGTTTAAAGGAAGGAGGGAGGAAAATTTAAAAGTAACTAAGTTATTAGATCATCAGCAAATTTTCAATTTCAGCCATATTCAGTAATACAAATATTAAGTTACAAATCTTACTTGCAATGAGGATGGACTAAGAAGTTGTTCTGTGTACCTCTAAATGATCTTGAGTAGCAAATTATGATAGTTATGAAAATATAAATATATTTATGCCAATATTTACAGTACATCTATGTTTCAAATGATTAACCCCACAGTAATGATACAGCAGAAGAGATGAGTTTAAATTATGTAATATAATTCACAAACCTGAAGAAATAATTAAACTCAAAATCTAAGCAGTCTGAGTCAAACTCAGAGAAGTGGCAACTTTACTTATGGATAAGATGATAGATTATAAAACACAATAATAATAGGACATATTATATCCAGTTACTGTTGTGAGCAATTGAACAATAGAAATCTTGTTCTTAATAAAATGTAACTTATTTATAAGCAGAATGCTTTAATCTCATTCTAAGAATACATTAAAAAAAAAGTCTTGAAATGCATTGATTGTTAAGAATGTAATAATTAAGCCTCTAATTACATTAACTCATGAAAAAATATACAAGATAAACTCCTATAAAAGATCAAAATCATTTTGTTAAATTTATCCAATTAAAATTTTTTAACATTCTTTTTTAAGAATGTTAAAAATCTTTCAGATCTAAAATTTTATTATGTAAATGAATTACGAAAAGAAAAATATTCTACCTTCACAAACCTAACGTTTTTCTCCCGTTATAAGTTATTGCAACTCTCTATTTGACATAGGTAGAACTTCAATCTAATTTAACATCATGTATTTTGATATGTTTACATAGAACAAGGAAATTTATGTTAATACTATCTTAATTTGCTTATTCTGGATTTTAATTCAGTAAAAGACAATTAAATCTGTTTGAAATGCATAAAATAAAGTTCTGAAAAGTTGAATGAATCTTAAATGGTTTTGTTCCTTTGGTTGAATCTTAAATGGTTTAATACTAAGAAAATATTTTTTCTTAGTATTAAAACCAGGTGGAGATTTTTTAAAAGGTAAATTTATTATGAAACATGTTAGAGCCCAAAAAGA